TAGATTTTTGAGGAATCTCCAAATTGTTTTTCACAGTGGCTGGACCAATTTACATTCCCACCAGCAGTGTAAGAGAGTCTCTCTTTGACCACACCCCCGGCTAGCACTTATCATTTGTTTTCTTTTAATCTTGGGCATTCTGACTAGCTGTTTTCCTTCCTGCTATCTAGTAGTACTACTACTCACAATTGTCGTGTGGATGGACGTTACTTAAATGATATCTGAAAAAATCTACTTTGGAGCTGATGGGTGGCGTGGTGGTTAGGGGCACTGGACCCCACATGACTGAGTGTGGTTTGAGTCCTGGATCTGGTGGCTTGCTTTCTTGCTTTCCCCCTCTCTCTCTCTCTTCCTCTTTTTCTGTCTCTCTGACTAAATTTAACTAAATAAATTTAAATAAAAATTTTTTTTTTAAATTTAGGTTGGCAGGTGGCATGGTGGTTATGGTGCTGGACTTCCACATGACCAACCATTGTTCAAGTCCCAGACCTGGTGGCTGGCTTTCTGACTTCCCTTTCTCTCCCTCTCTCGTCTCCCTCTGGTCAAATTTTAAAAAATAATAGCAAGTAAATAATTCTTTTTTAAAAAATCTACTTCTTTTGAATAGGAGCAAGTAGGTGAAAGGATTCCCTTCATATCTCATCTTCATGAGTTAGAGAAACAGAATTAAGTCTAAAAACACCTTGTATAAACGCCATAAAATATTTAAGTGTAGGAAAAAATCAGATTATCAGTCCTAATAGTTCAGAAAGTAGGCAGAAAGACTAAGGTATAAGGATATCTGTTGTATGTATCTATAAACCTTCCTTCAGTAGATTTAGTAAATGTGTCATGTTTCTAGATCTTTGTAGAAAGTGATATGTTTTTGTTGTGGCCTTGGGGCCTGGTGGTTAAGGGAGCCAGATGCCACATGGCCAACCACATGATTCAAAAATCCTTTCTTGCTGGCTTGAGAAATACGCCATCATGTATATGTGCATGCCCAAAGTCCTGATAGGGAGCTGAAATGGAGGAGAAGTTATTGTGGCATGACCACACCCCTTGGGGGAGGAGTGCTTTCTCCTTGCGCTGCCCCCCAGCACATATACCTCCAACAAATTTAAAAGATGAAAATAATAATTTTCATGATAAATGTTCTGTAGTCTGACTTCGGTGTTGTTAAGATTAGTATCCCTATTTCTGACGTAACTCCTTGCAGATCATCCATATATTTATCCTCTTTTTTTAGTGACGGCATGTATGTATCAGAAATGTCAGTGTATTTTTTTTCCTCTTACATATTGTTTAGAACTGAATCCTTTGGTCTCATCCTCGTGATAATGTAGTAAAATAATAATTTTTTTGAAAATGTTTGTAAGTTGCTATAGATTTGCAGACAAACCTAATAACTAGGTAGACTTCTCTGTTTTAATTAGCTCACAAAACTAATAAATTCTATCTAACGTGATAACAAGATTCATGAAACTAGAATTTTTTACAACTTAATGCTGCTACTTTTAGTTGATAGTCATTCTTAGTTGATAGTCATTCTCTGGGCATTTCACTGGAGCACAAGCCAGACCGTACACAAGCACCTCTGTTTAAAAACAATTTTTTTAGGTGTTAATAGTGTACATTTTCTGGAAGTACATTTATAGTATTTATTCTTTCAGTTAACAATTGGTGTTTATATTGTAGCAGTTTTGCTTAAACTTTTATCCATACTATCTACCCCATAGTTTCCCTATTTTACAACATTTATCTGTTTGAACTCTTTTTGTTTCAGAGACGACCACCAGATAATTCTTTTTATGTGCGAACGTGTAACAAGAATCCAAAGAAAACAAAATGGTGGTATCATGGTAAGCAGTTTTAATTTGAAAGATAACTTTTTAACATTTTAGTTTGAAAAATTATGTTTGCTAAGGCTTGGGGGAAAAAGGAGAAAGGTAAAATTGATGTTAAATGGTATTTGTAAAGTGGAAATTCTTTAAAATGTATGATGAGGTCTAGGAGATAGCGTATTGGTTAAGTTTCTGGATTCCCATATGGCTGACCCCAGTTCTAAGTCCTGGACCTGGCAGCTTAAAAATCACACCAGGCACCTGTGCATGCAAGCCCCAAATGTCAGGAAAATGGAGAAGGGATTGAGCCATGGCAATCCTTCTGGGGGGTGAGTTCTCACTTTCTCTGTGACTGTCTTTCTCTGCTGAGTGTACATGTCCTATGACAGAAAAAAAAGAAATAACCTTTAAAAGAAATATATATATATATATATATATATATTTATGTATGTATGTATGTATATATAAAATGATGTTTTATAGATAAGTTAGTCTTGCTAAGTTAGATTTTTTTTTAGAATTATTTATTTTAGGGGCCAGCAGGTGACATGGTGGTTAAGGGCACTGGACTCCCACATGACTGATTGCAATTCAAGTCCCAGAACTGGTAGCTTGCTTTCTTACTCACTCACTCTTGGTCCCTTTCTTGCTCTGTACCTCTCTGGTCAAAGAAAGAAAGAAAGAGAGGGAGGGCAAGAAAGAAAAGAAAAAGAGAAAAGAAAAGAAAGTTGAATAAAATAATTCTTTAAAAAAAGAATTATTTTAATTTAATTTTTTTTGAGAGAGAGGTTTTTTGCTATAGGGTGCATGCATTCACCAGAAAGAGAGAGACAAGAAAGCAAAAAATCACCCCCCAGGGGGGATGGCCACACCACAATCCCTTCTCCTCCAGTCTCCTCTCGGGATCTTGGGTATGCACGCACACTCGCCCAGCGTTAGTTTAAGCCACCAGGTCCACGACTTGAACCACAGTCGACTACATGGGAGTCCAGCAACATAGCCATTACACTAACTGCTAGTCCCTATTATTATTAATTTTCTGTATAGCATGTGTTCTCACCAGAGAGTGACAGAGAGAGGGAGAGAGTAAGTGAGAAAGCAAGCTATCAAGTCTAGGACTCGAACCACAGTCAGCCATATGAGAGTGGGCACCTAAACCACCATACTACCTGTTGCCCCAGTCTAGCTCTTTTTTAATAAAAAAAAATTGATAGGGTACATGAGGTTGCCAGAGAAAGTGAGAAAACACTCCCCATGGGGGTGGCCATGCCACTGTTTCTTCTCCTCTTGGGCTTTTGGGCACTCACAGACACGTGCCCAGCTTGATTTTCAAGCCACCATTTAAGGCTTGAATTGCATACTTGGCCGTGTGGGATCCAGTTTCCTTAATCACCATGTCATAGGCTGATCCTTTAGCTTTTTAATAGAACAACAAAATCATAATCATTGTACTAGTGAACTTTAACATTCTGAGACTATATCACTATATTACAAAATGTAGTCCTTAATAATCTCTTTTGAGAGATTTTTGCTAGGGCGCATGTGCTCGCCAGACAGAGATACAGAGGCAGAAAGCAAGAAATCACCCCCTGGGGGGATAGCCACACTGCAGTCCATTCTCCTCTCAGGATCTTGGGCATGCATGTACACGTGCCCTGCGTGCGTTTAAGCCCACCGGGTCTAGGACTCGAACCACAGTCAACTACATGGGAGTCCAGCGACATAGCCATTACGCCATCTGCTGGTTCCAATAATTTTTTTAATTAATTAATTTTGCATTCTTTCACTGAAAATCACTGCAGCATACAAAATGGGATTTCCCATCCAGAATACACTGTTAAGTGGCTTAATCATACTTGTTATCGTCAACAAATAATTTTACATTTCTTGTTTTTTGTATATATATTTTTCCCCATTTCTCAACTTCTGCCATATCTCACCCTCCTCCTACACTATCTCTGGTATCTGTAGTTGCCTTCCATTCTTTTATTCTTTTCCACATTTCATTAATTCCCAAAATATTTTAATTAGTCTAAATACTTTCAATAGTAAGTTCAACTGATATATACATATCTGTGAACTCATGTTGACTTTAGGCATGAAACTCTGTGGGTAGAGTGAATATACTATAAAGTAGCACCTACTGAAGGCAATATAAGTGTGGTCATTAAATAGGTATTTTTAAAATATATTTTTTAATTTTAAGAAAGGCAGTTTTAGCTTTAATAAATTGAAAAATATTAAGAGAACTTTGGTTAGTACTTAAAGCCAGGAAACAGGTTAGGATTCTGTTCGAATAGTAGGTACATGGACCTGTCCACAACTCAAGAGAAGCCAAAAATCCTTAACTCTGGAAAACAAAGCATAGAAAATCAGTAACGTTTTAGTTAAAAGTCAGAAAATTCTATTTCACCAGTTCAAACTCATGTACTTTATCTTCTGTTGTGATCTGATCTTTCCGTTTTAATTCTGGAAGGTAACGTTCAACTCTGGACTTGTCCCTACTATTAGGCTGGCCATTTTCTTAGTTGTTTTAGAACTCTTATTTCTTTGTGTCTGACTTTAGTTTTCCTGGCATGCACTCCTTCAGAACTTTTTAGAGAACTGGTGTTGGTAAATTCTTTCAGTTTTTTTGTTTTTTTTTTTTAATCTGAGAATGTTCTTGTCTTCTCTTCCCATATGAAGGATAATCTTGCTGGATGTAGTATTTTTGGTTGAAATTGTTTTTCACTCAGCACTTTGAGTATATTTTCCCATTCTTTACAAGCTCACCTTGTTTCTGACGAAAGGTCTGCTATTAGTCTGATGGGATATCCTATGTAGGTAACTTGACATTTCTCTCTCGCCAATCTTATTATCATGTTTTTATCTGTGGTTTTGGTCATTCTGGCTCTAATGTGTTTTGGAGAAGATCTTCTTGGGTTTATACTATTTGGGGTCTTTTTTTTTGTGGGCCTGGATCTTTGAATGTCTCTCAAAGTTTTGAAAGTTTTCTTCAAGGATTTCATGGAATAGATTATCAATGCCCTTATTAGTCTCTTCACCATCTGGGATACCAATTATCCAGATGTTTGGATGTATCCAATATTTATCGTATATTGTTCTCATTTTTTTTGCTATTTTCTCAGTCTTCATGGTAGATTTTACCAGTCTAGCAATTCTGTCTTCTACATCTGAAATTCTATTTTTTGTATGATGTAGTCTGCTTTTAATACTTTCAAAGGAAGTTTTGACTTCCTTTATTGTAGCCTTCATCTCTAACAGTTCAATTTGATTCCTTTTTATGGTGTGTATTTCCTCCTTCAGCTCTTGCAAGAACTTCCTCACCTCCTGGAACTCATCAGCTCTTTTCTTCTGGTGTTCATTGTCTCATTGTCTCATCATCTTTTTTCTCTTGCACCTCCGTCAGCTTTGTCACTGTGAATATTCTACATTCTTTTTTTTTTGAAGAGGTTTTTGGTATACGGCGTGTGCGCTCGCCAGACAGACAGAGAGAGAGAGAGACAGAAAGCGAGAAATCACCCCCCAGGGGGGATGGCCACGCTGCAGTCCCTTCTCCTCCATTCTCCTCTCGGGATCTTGGGCACGCACGCACACGCGCCCAGCGTGAGTTTTAAGCCACCGGGTTTGGGACGTGAACCATGGTCGATTACATGGGAGTCCAGCGACATAGCCATTACGCTAACTGCTGGTCCCAATATTCTAAATTCTTTATCAATGAGTTCCGTTGTACTGTCTGTGGATGAAAAGGAGTTATTCTTTTTTCTTGGGACAGAGGGGTTTTCTTGGTTTCCCATATTTATTGTGCCTCTCCAGTGATTTCTATTTATCTGATGGGTTATTTGTTTCTTCCTAATTTCTAGGAGTTCAATCTGAGTGATCAGTGGCACACAGGAGGAGGTGGTCTGCAAACTCTTTGGCATTATGTTTTTCTCCCTTCGTGTCACAGATTCAGTAGGAATTGAGGAATATGAGGACCCTAATAGTATTTGGATGCTTGGCTACTATTCACTTAGACCTATCTAGACACTCAGTGTGTGGAAGCTTAGTAGCAAAGTGATGAAGTAAAAGAAAAAGGATAAGAAAACAGAAAAAGAGAGAAAGAAAAAAGAGAAGAAAGGAAAAAGCAAATACCAAAAATTATTTGTTAATTTTTTAAAACAATATATGAAAACCGTGCGACGAGCGAGCATGCTACGCGAAAGCACTAGATCTCTGCTCTCATGGTGGATTCAGTCTTCTGGCCTGCCCTTTTTGCCTTTCTTAGATGGGAGTGGGAAAGAGGAGGAGATTATTACCAAGATAAAGGAGGATTTCAGACTCAAGAAGATACCTTAAAAATTTAAAAGAGAGAGGGAACCAGCAGTTAGCGTAATGGCTATGTCACTGGACTCCCACGTAGTCGACCGCGGTTCGTGTCCCGGACCCGGTGGCTTAAAACTCACGCCGGGCGCGTGTGCGTGCGTGCCCAAGATCCCGAGAGGAGAATGGAGGAGAAGGGATTGCGGCGTGACCTTCCCCCCTGGGGGGTGATTTCTCGCTTTCTGTCTCTATGTCTCTCTCTGTCTGGCGAGCGCACGTGCCCTACAGTGAAAATCTCTCAAAAAAAAAAAAAATTTTAAAAGAGAGAGAGACAGACAGAGAAAAAAGGACAGAGAGGACTCTACCAGGGTGACTTCTCAGCAGAACATCGTCATTGCTCTTACCCTGAAAGCACTAGATGTCAGCTCAGTCCTTAATCTTTAGCACAAATTAGACTTTTGGGAAACTTGTTATTCAAAATAGAAATTTCAATTTCTTGTGTACTGATTTTAGTTCTGGTATCATTAACAGTAAAGGAGAGGGAACCTTATTAAGTTAGAAGTCCCCATTAAAGAAATATCATCTTACTTTGTTGATTACCCTTTAAAAATTTTTGAGGTTTTGGGGGCCAGCAAATGTCACGTAGATAAAGGTGGCTGACCACACAATTCAAATCCTAGAACCTGAAGTTTGAAAAACATTCTCATGCGTGTACA